ATGACTGGCTTACCCTTCAATTGGTTCTGTCGCTGTTGCGACGACTCGCGCTCAAAAGGTGCAGTCGAACACTTTATGTGCGAGTGAAGAACTTTCCCAAAGATGATGCTTCAGAGTGCATCCACCTATAGATACATCTATGATGTTCTGAAATTCATTAAATCTACTTAAACCAACCAACCAATATCGTCCGCGTATGCGACAACTTTTACCCCATCATTGCTGTGCGTCAGACGGTTGCTGTTTAATATGGAACATCGCAGCAGCGGCGATAAATATTCTCCAGCGTAATAACTTCGCAAACGATATTTATGGATGATGGCATCCCGCTGCTTTCCGCTGCTGATTTAAGTCACAGCCTTGGATTCGGAGAAGAAATTCGAGTGTCTCCTTCGAACTACTGGTTTACGATCTGTCATTCGTTTTTAGTAGGGAGTGCAGTGCCCCTGCAGGAAGATTCTTTGGTAGATTCTATAGAAAAGCCCAGAGAGTCCTCTACCAATTCTGTTTGGGTATACCAATTAATTTTGTATAAATTCTTAAGCGCATTGAACAGCTAATGTTGAAAAGTTTCCTAGGCTCGTTACTCAGTTTTCAGATTTTGACTTCCCACCACGGACGATATTGGGCCCTGGGATTATGAAGAAAGAAGCCGTAAACCTTGATCCTATAACCGCTAAGAATTTGTTGCTTTTGGCTCTTAGATAGTGTTATGTGAAGCACTTCTTCTCACCCATTAAAGCCACCACTCCAGGGATACATCTGATTGAGTGCCGGGAATTGCGATTCTATCCGATAAATAAGCTACTTATCCTATCAAAAATCATCAAAAGGTTAACGAAACATATCCCGTGGTACATTTTCATCGTGTTTCTATGCTGTCAAATCCGATCAGCTCGGAGCCTTGTAAAATGAGAAAAGTATTATATTGAAATTTAACCACAGCACAAGATCTAGGATTTATTGTAGAATACGTATATTTCGCTATGCAGATGCAACCAGTTATCCTCGGTCGATGTCGACGTCCGCCTGTACCAGGAAGGCGAAGAGGTTATCCATGGCCAGTGCTGGAGTTTTATCTAGACAGCTTTGCAACACACTTTCTAGTTGGGTTTGTATGCAATATACCTTCCAGCGGCTTACTCCCGACCTGGCGGAAAAAATAATGGTATATGTGGGGTCTAAGGGCACATCCAAGTCTGGAATGAAAATATTTATTATGCACATATTACCGAGCATCATATTGTGTGTATGCAGCGGCAAACCGATGAAACGGCACTTCGTGCTGTACATTCAGTTTCAAAACAGAGTGTCCTCTGGCAGTCGAAAATTAAGTCCGATTGTGAGTTCTTATAAAAACTAAATGAAACTTATGTTACATATCTAGTTTGTCTCATAACCAATATACATACATATGCACATACATACAATGTGCTTTTGCTTAAGTTTATATTTTTTCCCTTTTGTATAACTAGATCTCTACCTCTACCCTGTTCGTTCTAATTACATTTATGTTATTCTGTTTCCATTTATCTTTATTTTTATCTTTATACTCTATTGATAAGAAAATCGATAGTAGAATCCATCAAACTATCGATAACAAAACCAATAAATGTATCGACAACAAATTCGATGAAAATATCTTTAGCAAAATCGATATGAAAATCAATAAAAGTATCGATAAGAAAATCCTTAAAAATATCGATTAAAAGATCTATAGCAAAACTCATAAAAGTCTCGATAACAAAGTCGATCAAAATAACGTTAACAAAATCGATAAAATATCGATAAGAAAATCGATAAAAAATATCGATATCAAAATCGATAAAGATATCGATAACAAAATCTATAAAAAAATATCGGTAACAAAATCGATAAAGATATGGATAACAAAACAGATAAATATATCTATAAAGACATCGAAAACAAAATCGATAAAATATCGATTACAAAATCGATCAAAATAGCAACTAGAAAATCGATCAAAATAGCGATTATTATATCGATAAGTTCCGAGAATGTCGATAGCAAAATCGATAAAAATATCGATAACAAAGTCGATAATAATACTAATAAGAAAACCGATAAAAATATCGATTATTAGATCGATAAGTTCCGGGAATCCCGAAAATCTCTAAAATCCTGAAATAGTTCCCAGATGGAGTCTCTGTCTCTACCTGCATATATTCTTTTATCTTTAATTACCTTTATTTTAATCTTTCTTCCTCTATCTTCATCTTTACTTTTATCGGCATTCTCGTCCTAATCTTTTTCTTTATATTTATCTTTGTTTTTACTTTTACGTTTATCATTTTCTTCATCTACATAAATAGATATACCCCTTCACCTTGGCCCTTATAAATACAATGTCAATTTACTCCCAACCAACCAACCGCTGCACAATAGGTCAAATGATTACTTTTTCTGTGCGAAATTAATAGCAGCTAAAATATTGCATTATTTTAATGTAAAAAGATGGCAAATGTTGAAACAAGTGGAAAGGCAGTAAATAAAATGTTAAACAGACTTGGCTTTCGTAAAACAGACTTTACTGCTTTTTTTGTATGTTCAAATGATGAGTATATGTATGTGTTTAGATAGTACTCAAAAACATTGTCCAATTAGCTTGGTTTTGACACAAGTTATTTTCTTACCATACTCAACCCCCTCCCCTTTAAAATGAGCTATGTACATAATAAAATAAGTATGTTCACATGTACATAAATGGTTTCTTCTAGCGATTAGTTATGGCATTATCGAAATTCCTAAATTAAAAAAAAAGAAAAATATTTACTACATTGTCTCGCAGATATGTCTTGAGGAGAGATTCCTAAAGCAGTTAGTCTTCATAAAACACTTCATTTTCACTTCGGGGTTCAGTATTTACAAATGCTCCACCGATATTATTTGTATTCAGAATACAAATGCTACTTTGTGACACATTTACCACAAATCGCTGGCAACTTCCTGAAAAGAATACGAATGTTTATGAAACTAATTTGTTAAAAGAATGTTCAAAGCTCTATTCACTTTGAGTAAAAAAAAAATCGAAATTTCAGTCCGTAAGTTCTCTCAAGGATTTGCCTTTTTGCAAAGGCGCTAGTGTATTTGTAACATAGCCTCGGCTACGCTACAGGAGAGTAAATGTAATCCAAATTGAGGCTGCTATTTTTTTGCTATCACATACTTCCATTTTCACTATTTATCACGATTGAAATAAATTATTTATCACCAAAAAATTTTGGAGATATTTTTGGAGATAGCTAAAAATTCGGAAAAAGGTTGGCTATCCTATTTTAGCACTTTAGCGATGGCGAAAGTTAGAATCCAGTTTTTTTTTCCGAAAAGAACCTCATCAGCAAGAAACGCTATGTTTTCAGATCTAAATATTTTAGCATCCTTTCCAAATTGTTTCCCATAATTTTCATATTTATTTGATAAATAATTGCAAAAAATACGTTTTTTCTTCCAAAAGTTTCAGGGCCTTTCGCAAATATCAGCAGCACCAAATTTTTTTTCAACATGGTTGACAACCGAAAAAGGCTTTTCCTTTTTCGAACATCCAATCAGCCAAACCTCAAACAACTTGCCTTTTGTGATAGCATGATAGCCCAGAAAAATCCCGTTTTTCTTGAAAACGGCTAAAAACGGCGGCTTAAGTAAAATAAGATCAACTTATTACATCCCAGTTTATCCATTTCCATTTCCATTTTGTTTGCCGAAAGTTAACAAAATTGTAAAAGCTTACATAAAATCATAAATGGAAATAAATCCGCAAATTTTTGAGGTTATGCAGCTAAGTCAGTTTTTCTGCAAACAAATGATAACAAGTAACTTTTTTAAATTGGGACATAGGTTCTCACATAGATATACTTTTCTTTCCCATTTAAAATTTTCCTTTAGTTATTCGGACTTTACAAAAACAATGCACTTGAAATTTACAAAATAAACCGGTTGCGCAAACAACGTATCAATGACGTTTTGAAAGTGTAACTTTGGTTTATTGCTGTATAACGGTGTTTTTCATTTTACAAAAACTAAGTGAAGTTTCTGTTATTTTGGAGTATTCCCTACAGAATGGCAACAAAAAATAATGTAAAACTGCCTTTACGAAATTGGACTTTCGCACAGCCAAATGTATCATTTGACCTAATGTGCGCTGCTAAAGAAGTCTCACTTCAAAAAGAATTTCAAGGCAAAATTACTCATGGCCCTAAATGGGATTCATCTTAGTGGATATCTTATGACTTATTTTCGTAAGAAAAACTACAAGTTTATATTAGTCTTAATAATCGGCTCCGCTGGTAGGTCGAATGGGCAGAAATACTCCTGCTCTGAAAGTATTCAACGCGGGTCGCGATGCTCTTAACAGAGAAAGAAGAGGACCTCCTCTGCTTTAGAAATTCCAGGCGGAGAAGGACTTGGCATTTCCAATTGTCGTCAGTTGGTTTTGGACTCGCCAAATCGCTTAGGCGGTTGGTTACAGCACTAATAATCAAGAAGAAGAATCAGCTCTTTTAATCCTTTGGTAGTATAACTATTCATCCACATTATAATTCAGTATATATGTATGTATACATAACAAAACTATGTGTGTCTATTTTTATTTTGTCTTTATTACTATTTAGTCAAAATGTAACACTGAACGCCCCTGTAAATGACCAAAAATGTATTTATCTTTGCAGTGTGCTGCGCATAAAAATAAGACCATGCAGTACGTACTTCAGTGCAAACCCTGTTGAAGGTTTTACAAATGTGCCATGCATACTATATGTAACAAATAAAGTTAAAATGCTTAAGTTAATTGTTTAAAATTTACACTTTGATTTAAAATTCAATAAAAAACTAAAAGACGAAAACCAACTGAGTCACTGAGCATAAAAATGTGCATTGAACTTAACACCTTCTCACTATAAATAGAGAATCGAATTGACCAAAGGTATCAAACCAATTTAATCTGCTTTCAAGCAACAACCAAGCCAAATCAAAGCAATTTCAAGATGTTCAAATACGTAAGTTTTTGGTTGCTCCATTCCCAGTATTTTCTTACTTTTCCGAGAAATTCTTAACTAATTTCAACTTTTTTTCCACAGGCTGTTGTACTCTTCGCCATGATCGCCTGCGCCGCTGCTAAACCAGGTATTCTTGCTGCTGCCCCCTTGGCATATGCCGCACCTGCCGCTGTTGTTGCCGCTCCTGCTCCATTTGTTACCGCCACCAGTAGTCAAGTGATCGCACGCAACTACAATGGTATCGCTGCTGCTCCAGTTGTAGCTGCTGCCCCTGTCGCAGCTCCAGTTATTGCTCGTTACGCTGCTGCGGCTGCTCCCGCCGCTGTTGTTGCCGCGCCAGCTCCTGTGGTGACTGCTACCAGTAGCCAAGTCATTGCTCGCAACTACAATGGCATCGCTGCTGCACCCGTCATAGCTCAATATGCCGCTGCTCCAGTTGTTGCCCGGTATGCAGCGGCTGCGCCTTTAGCCGCTCCATTGGCTGCTCATTATGCCGCTGCTCCACTCCTTTGGTAAAAGAAATGGAATCGCATGAGGCTTTTTTGATGCTTACCGAAATAAAGAAAGAATTTTTGATCTATTTTTCTATTTATAACTTTTAGTTAGGTTAGTTATTGGTAGTCAGGAAAGTTGTGTCAGTCTTTCAAGAAGATGATTCTAAAAATGTGCTGCGCTTATCTGTCAGTCTTCTGCGGATACGGTTTTGAGGGTTTTTATAAACTCTCCGTATTTAATACTCGATCTATTTGAAGCAGTAACGAGCCTTAAATATGCCGATAAGAGTATCGATAATATCCTAATTATTTATAGTATTTAATGCTGTAAATATTGTATTGGCTTATATTGTAAATATTGGGGTCGAGCAAAATGCAGGGTGTGGATGAAGCGTAACACAGCACATAGATGATCTCGTGTGCTTAGCCACTGCCATATCAAGACCGTAGTGCGCGATATCGCATCCTTCCAGAATTGACCCTGTTTCCACAAAATACTACGGATCTAGACCCGGAGGGTGTCGACTCCAGTCCTATCCCCCCAATACGGGGTATCATGCGTCACCGTGCCAATTGGATGGTTTGCAGTCAGGGGACTTTCCGACTGTATTATAACGGCGCCTCCGGGATCAGAGAACCAAACTAGAATGGGCAAAAGGGATCCTCGCCACTAGAAAGAAGCGCAAAGTAGGTAGTATCGGCGGGATTCAAACCATCACCACCAATACCCCGAGGGAACTGACCTCAAAAAGGCAGCGATCTGGGACTGGAGACTGTATTGAATCTTCTCCCTATCGATATTTACGGTAGATACCAGGCCAGCGGCAACGTAGCTAGACTGAATGAAGCTCATACATGGAGAGACCATAGGTTCGGTCCCCCAAAAATTCTGGGCACCATTTCAGCAATCCTAAATAAGCTGGAACGAGAGCTCGTTTATAGTGGCATCACAATGGGTCGGTCAAATTGGTCTAAGTGTGTCACTCTGTCGGTCCGTGCGGAGTGACAACCACCTAACCTAATGCTGTAACTACTCCATCACCACGCGCACAGACTTTAGTGCCCACCGTACTTTGTTGGGTCAAAAATTGAGCCAGATCTGCTATGATTGCTTACTCTGCGAATCCTTCTTCCGAGCAGACAGAACTGATCTGATTTTATTCGACTGAAGTGCCTAGGAAATGTGTTTTTCAGAGTCTTCCTGTTATTGTCTCTAAATGTGCCATCTCGCCTCCGTTTTGCCGGAAGTAACACAAAACAACGCGTGGTGAAAAGAGCAATTAAATTACATTACATTGAGCTGAACTTATTATCGATAAGAATTTGTAGACAACACCACTCTATGACTGCCAAAATGTACAAATCGTGTGTTCCCTGTTTTATTGTAGTCAGACATAAGTACGTTTCGCTACTGAGTCCTTTTGGACCTGTGTCACGAAAGACTTTACAGCAGATTCGCTGCTATCACCATTGCATCGATTGAGTTATTGGAGGTTAACAACGGGTCTGCTCTTGCATTCACCAGAGTTTTTATAATGGTCCAGTTTGTTAACCCAGGCGGTAAAGGCGTGTTGCTGAGATCATATCTAAAAAGCGTACGTGTCGATGATCCGTAAGCAATGCTTCATCCTAGACTTGCCATTACCGACCAGCTGAGAGAGTGAGATCTAGTAGCGCCGACGGCAGTAATGAAAAGGGGCTCCGCCCTCCATATTCGCTCAAACATTCTTTATTATTTATTACTTACTCCTATCATTGATGTTGGAGCTGCCTCACAAGATAAAGAGGGCATTTTTATCGTAGTCAATGATAACCTGATGGTTCTTACATCGACAAAATTCAATGAGCTAATGTAATAGAGGTATGAGGGAGACATCAACCTGGGAAGTAGACGGATGACAAGACTACATATTTCCTGCACCCCATCCTGGTGAATTTTTTAATAACGTTTACTACTAATGAACATAAATATCAAGTTTATCATTAAAACCAGCTGGCATTTGGATATACTGTGTACATATACATATATATAAGTATTTATGTTTTTTTTTGTACGTGAATGACAAAGAGTTTTTTGAAAAAGCTTCATTATGGCATAAATGCCCTTCGGTGTTTCAATTTCTCAACATGAACTGAGTTATCGAGATATAATGTTTCCAAATGCGAATAGTTTACAAACTTCCAAAGCAGATTCACCACTTTCATATAAATCTTTATTTTCGAACTTGCGGAAGAGAATCTTTATCAAGTTTGTAAGAATATTGAAAAAAAAAATGTGTGTAGTCAACACGTTCTTTTGCCGACTATCAAATGGTAACCGATTTATTCATCATAAAGTCTTGGCACGTACGTCAATGTGGTCTTTGGGTACGCTGACCATCGACCATTGGTTTGGTGAAGACTTTTTTTGTGGTGGGTGAGTGCAATGAAACCGCTAGTAAGTGCACACACACACACACATATGCACCTACTTATCTACTTAAGTGAAAAAGTTTTTATGTGTTTGAGGTTTTTTCGAACATACAAACACATATGCACATACATATGTATGTATGTATGTTTTATGACTTTTTTTCTTTTGCCTCTCCATATTCAATTGCATTTGCCTTCTTTGGCAAATTGCGTTTGCCTACGATTCGTGTCAAGGTCGTATGTGCTCGAGTGTTAATAATTTTGAAAAGTTGAGTGAACTTTTTTGCAAATAAAAGTTACCAAATTATAAATATATACTGGTCATAAGTATATGCGTGCATATTTCCTCTGAAGTAGTGGTTACTGAGCCTTCAACTTGTTAAAATATATTAAAAATATGGCGCCCAAATTTTTTCTAGTTTTTCGGCGAGCTGTCCCCTCGAATTTATGTTGTGCCTTTGGATGTTATCAGACAAATGGTAGATCCTACAATTTCATGAAGGCTACCAACGGACGATACCGAATGGAAATACAGTGCAACTGCACATAGAAGCAGTGGCCATGACGTAATCGGTGCCATATTTAATAGGAGAACATATAAAACAAGTCTCAAAACAAAGTCAGCTGATTCTATTTTGTCCTTTGAAACACTATGCAGCTGCGTAAAAAATTGTTTTAACAATGTCCATATTTTTGTTTTTACTACTTCTTGTTTTTACACGACAAAATGGAATAAAAGCTCAAACAATATTCTTAACTGCACCGCCAGTATTGGAAATACTCAAGAGCTATCCCTTTCAGATTTCCAAGAAGCAAGAAGTCATCAATAAGAGACTTTAAAACTCACCCTAGAGCAAAAAGAGTTTTATTGGGAAAACAGTAAAAAAAATTAGTCAATGAACTCTAATTATCCAAATTTAATCCGCTTTCGTATTATAAATTACCCTCAAAACGCGTTAATTCTGTTTTATTTAAAAATCGAAACATAATAAAAAATAAAATATTGGAACTACCATTTTTAATTTTTAAATACTGACAACGGAGCGTAATCGTCCCCATAAAAAAAAAGTTCCTAATACTGTTTTTTTGTAAAAATTTGATTATTTTTTAAAAATTAATCAGCCATATACGATCTGCCATTCGGAATTTTTAAATTTTTTGGCCAGTTTCTTAAAATTTCAATTTTTATTTTGAACTCCAGACCAAATTAAAACTCGTAAATCAATTTCGGATCTTTTTACAAGCTTTTATTAGGTTTCACCTGTATGTAATCAAATCTTAAAATCATTTTTTAGCCAACTTCTCGGTGAGATAGGGGATTGAAACTTCAAACTTGGCTCAGAACTCGATGAGAATGTAATATGAAAGATGAATTAATCGGCTAGATCTGGTTGGTTTCATATTTAGAATGTACTTATATTACTTAAATGGAAAGAAATAACACCGCGAAAAATTTAGTCGTTAGTTCGTGTGAGGATAGTTTTTTTTATATTAACCCATATAAAAAGCATGTCTTAAAAAATTTTTGTTTGATTACTTGCTTTTCTTTCCGGCAAACTTCTCTGACATTTTTGGCCATTCATGTTATACTTTGGGAATTAAATTTAGCGCTTTCGATAGAAGCAAAACTTTGATATCAAACAAAATAGCTCTGAAAGTTTATATAATTCAACAAAAACGAAAATGTGACTAATGTTATTCCTTTTAATCGAAAATATTGCCACTAACCCACAATTACTCCTTGACCTGAAAAAAATTGGTCGAAAAATAATGTTTTTCGGAAAAAACATGCAAAAACTACCGGATTTGTTTTGAAAATTTTTTGTATATTTTTTATATAAATTTACAGAGTTTGAGACGAGAAGCACGATCTCACTGTTTAAAACGCCAAAAACAACACTCAAGTTATAAAACGCATTTTGTAGTTATTGATTTTTTTCGAACCTGTACGTTGTAGCGCTATTCAAGATATTTAATGTGGGCCCTGATAGAAGTTTTTCGACTCTTTGAGAACCAAATTAAAACAATTTTAAAGTTAAATTTTTGAAATTTCATTTTACTTTTTTTTTTTTTTAATTTCAGAGTAAAAACTCGTACAGCAGTTGCGTAATGCTTGGTTGACTAAGAATGCGTCATGCAATAACTGTATTGATTGCATCTACTATCTATCTAAGGTGACAACCTATCACAATCTTAAGTAATAAAACCCTTGTTAAGTTAATCATAAAACTATCTAATTTTTATTTCGGAACATATCACAAAGCGAGCCTCATACATTTCCAATTCCTTTACCAAAGAAGAGGAGCAGCGGCGTAATGCGCAGCAAATGGGGTGGCCAGAGGAGCGGCAGCCGCATAACGAGCAACAACTGGAGCAGCGGCATATTGCGCTATGACGGGAGCGGCGGAAAAACCATTGTGATTACGTGCAATAAATTGACTGCTGGTAGCAGTCACCACAGGAGCTGGTGCAGCAACAACGGCGGCTGGAGCAGCAGCAGCTAAAGGAGCAGCGGCAGCGTAACGAGCAACAATTGGAGCGGCGAGTGGAGCAACAGCGATACCATTGTAATTGCGTGCGATCACTTGACTGCTGGTGGCAGTAACCACAGGAGCTGGAGCGGCAACAAAAGCGGCAGGTGCAGCATAAGTCAAAGGAGCAGCAGCCAGGATGCCGGGTTTAGCAGCAGCGCAAGCGATGAGAGCGAAGAGAGCAACGGCCTGGTGGAAAGGAGAGGGAAAGAAATTTTAGTAACTATTTTTATAAAAAAATAAAATTTTAACAAAGTTTCTTTAAAAAAAAACAATTCTTAAATTACTCACGTATTTGAACATGTTGAAGTGTTAGGTGTTTCTTTTCTGTGACTATTGCTTAAGCGAAAGCTAAAGATGATTTGATATCCATTACCAAAATCGGTGCAATATTTATACTCGTAATTAAGGGTTAAAAATGGAAGGTGCCTATCGATGTGGTAGTATTCAAGTTCAAAAGAACTTGAGTATCTAATGTAGATATCACTAATAAGTAGTTGAATAACAATTTTTTTTTTTTTAATTTGCAATTTGACCACTTACATATAAACATACATTAAAATAGTTGTTGCCTACTCGTTGAATTTTAAATACTCTGAATTACAAATGCAAACCATGGCCTTAGCTTCATATGCGCAGTGAACTTCTTGAATGAATGCAAACTATTTTTTTGGGTAATTGAAGCAGACGCACAATTTAAAATCTGTACTGGTGGGGTTTTTAAAATACACTCATGAGCATACAAAAAAATACTAAAATTGTAAAATGCCCTGAATAGTAATGTAGAAGTGGCTACTTGTTTGAAGCTTTTGATGCATTAATTTATTTTGCTAAAATGTTAGGTTTACTACAAGCAAATTCACTATAAAAGCTTAACTGCATTTAACAAACCGCATCATTCACTTACCAACTTTTGTTCAAGAATCAAATAACCACATACCACAAAATCCATTAAAAATGTTCAAATTCGTAAGTTGCCAGCATTCTACTTAAAAATCCTAAAAGCAGAAATTTATTAACAATTTCTTTCATTCAACAGATCGTTGTACTCTTCGCCGCTCTCATTGCCTGCGCTGTTGCTAAACCCGGTATCCTGGCTGCTGCCCCATTGGCTTATGCTGCTCCCGCCGCTGTTGTTGCTGCTCCGGCTCCCGTGGTGACCGCCACCAGCAGCCAAGTGATCGCACGCAACTACAATGGTATCGCTGCTGCACCAGTTGTTGCTCGTTATGCAGCCGCTGCACCTTTGCTGGCTGCTCACTATGCTGCTGCTCCATTCGCCGCTCCAGTATTCTCCCATTATGCCGCTGCTAATCTTCCAGCTGCTTTTTTGTAAATGTGGTTATTATAGTTAAATAAAATTAGTACAAATCAATTTGAAGGATTTTCTTTTTAACACAAAAAAAAAATAAAAAATGGAAAAGACCTCGTCAAGTCAGAGCTTTTATTATAGCAAGCTGTTTAAATATTTACCTAAAGTTTAAGACTTTGAAAGAGATGTTCCAGAACCTGATCTTGATGAGGTAAAAACACCGATAAAAATTTAGAAAATTGCAGGACCGGACTACCGATTGCAAAATATGGTCAGAGGAATGCGTGCTCTGCCACGAACTTTGCAAAGTATCGTATAATTAGTTTTCTCGACATACTAGCATTAGGAGCAGTTGCTTCTGTGACGTCTTGTCTAAATTTGGGATCCTCGGCTTACGGTATGGTGACGTTGAACACAACTTTTAGTTACGCCCGAAATGGAAAGGAACTCTCCGAGTCTTTCGAAAACAAACGCGGCTTTACGATTAGACAAGGCGACTGTCTCTCCAGCCACTTTTTCTATCGGATGCTTGAAAGCGTCATATCTGAAACCAATCTAAATCGTAGTGTTGCCATATAAAGCCACCGAAAGTAATATGCGGATAACATTGATGAAAGTGTTGGCATTAAAACCCGGCTCGCAAGCTAAAATTTGTGCAACTTAGAAAGAAAGGCAAAAGAAGTTGGTCTAGCAATGAACGAAAACAAGGCAAAGTAACTCCTGGCAGCACACAAAAAGTCTCCGCGTATTGGGACACACGCCTTAGTTGGCAGTTGAAACTGTACTCAGCTATGATCGATTCCATTGACACCACAAATAATGATAGCTTGGCGATAAAGCTCTTGCCAATCGGTGCCACTTTGGGCTCTGTAGGCAATCGAAAAGCCGGGATCTATCTCTCATCATGTCCGTCCACTTATATGTCGCGGAAACATTAACGATTGCTCCCTGCCTGCGTAGCGACGAGTATCGAAGAAGATGGAGTGACAAATTGTGCCAGCTTTATAGTGACAAGGACATAGTTAAGAGCATAAAAATACAACGATTGCGCTGGCTTTGGCATGTTGAACGCTTAGATAACGAGGCTTTGCTGAAAATGTCCCTTGACACTGCAGCCATGGGTGGACGATGAAAGCAAGGGCGCCCACGAACGTAATAGAAGGACCAAGTACAGAAGGACCTGTCCACACTTGTTGTGTATGACTGGCGAAGCTATGCAGAGGTAAGTAAGAAGTCTATTTACTGAATTTGAATATCATAATTTATGGTGAGAATTCACCAATTAAACGCGTATAAAATTTATCACACATTTTCAATGAGTCTAAATTCTCCTACGCATACCTTGCTGCATAACGAGTAATCACTGGAGCAGCGATTTCATTGTGGTTGGCTAAGGCCAGATTCTCAATAATAAAACCCAATTGTTTTTTTCTAACAAGGTTTTTTCAGTAACTATATTTTATAGGACCGCCAAAACCCCTAGGAAATGCCAGAAAATGCCATGGGGGGTTAAATAAAAAATCTTCATTATTAAAAAATGGTTAAATAAATAATTGAATATTTTTATTGGAAGTCTCCTGAAGATAACCAGAGTTGTCCGATCGAAAAATATTGATTTTCGAGAATTCTATACCATTCCACGAAAAGTTGTTTTTTCCCATACAAAATACATGGAAAAGTTTGAGCGACCTCTAAATATTTTTTGATTTCAAAATTAAAAAAATTGGGGTATACTTCTTTTCCATATAGAACAATCCTAGGGGGTGAGAGCATTAAAATTCCGACTTTACTTATTTTGGACCACCCTAATGTATATACATATCGTCACCTTAATTCACAAAGGTCCTAAAAAGTGGCATAACTCCCTTGTTTTTCTTTTTAAAATTTTTAGTGAGGGTATATTTTAATATATCTGTGAAAAATGCAGTTTCGAAAAAAATTTTGATTAGGACCTTTGTGAATTAAGGTAACGACATGTACTTTTGTGCAAACCTGTTGAACAAATTTTTGAGTGATTCATCGTCAAACAATTCGAAAATGTTTACAAAACAAACTAGTAGTGTATAAGACATAGCATTATTTGCATACGTACATGTGTGCATGCATATTTATTTACGTGCATGAACACTAAGGTGGTCCAAACAGAGTAAAGTCGCAATTTTCTCACCCCTAGCATTGTTCAGCATCGAAAAAATTATACCACTATTTTTTTTTTTTGAAATCAAAAAATATTTAGAGGTCGCCCAAAGCGCTCAAAGTTTTCTATGATTTTATATGGTGGAAAAACAACTTTTCGTAGAAATTCTTGAAAATCAATATTTTTCAATCGGAAAACTCCGGTTCCCTTCAGTAGACTTTCAATAGCAATACCCAATTGTTTTTTGAACCATTTTTTAATACTAACAATTTTTTATTGGGGCCCATTGCATTTTTCGGGGTTTTTGGCGGACATATATATTGTATTTACTATGAAAAAAATGTTAAATCTACAATTGGGTATTTTTATTGGGAATCTCGAGCAGAAAGACAGAGTTTTCTGATAGAAAAATATTGATTTTTAAGAACACAACGCCTTTTCTATGAAAATATAAAACACATGGAAAACTTTGAGCGCTTTTTTTAATTAAAAAAATGAGGGGTATGAGGTTTTTTTCGATATACACCAATCCTAGAGGTTGAGCGCAATAAAATTCCGATTTACTTTTTTTTATATGCATTTTTGGACCACCCTAACATATACTATATCCTCTTTGTGTATAGAAATATTTTGGGTAATTTACAATAGCGCGCACGCGTACATTTTAATTTTAGGCCAAAAATACCGCTAAAAGTTTGAGCTAACTAGTGACATTGAATTATAATTAACTTTTTGAAACAGTTCGTCGTCGTGTGAAATTTAACGGTATATTTATTAAAAAAAAAGTTCGATTGTTATTTTAAGGGCGTCACGAATGAACTTGAAAAAATATGTTTTATTTTTTAACATAAAATCGAATACGCCGCTATTTAACATAAAAATTGTACAAAGTATACAAGTTAAGCTAGTACTTTTTATTTACGAAGTCGGATTGGAAAAAATTGCTACAATTTTATATTGACCTGGTTAATTTTATGCTCAGTTGTTTGCTTCTTCGATCTCATCGTTTGCCTGGCTGCCAAGCCTGGCACACTAGCCGCTGTCCAATTTGGCTTAAGTGCTGAGCACCGCCGATTTTGTTGCCGCTTATCCTCCTGGCATCGCTGCTACTGCATTTGTTGCCACTATAGCCGTCCCAATCGTTGCGCGTTATGCGATCACTGCTTCTTTAGCCGCACCGCTGCTTGTTGTTCATTGTGCGGATTCGCTTGACGCTGATCCTCCACTGTTGAGGTAAGAAAGTCAAGATTTTAGTTGAATAGGCTTATTTGTTTAATTTTATGCAATTAATTTGCTTTCAGGATTTTTTTTACTCAGTAAGTATACATATGTATTACATAAAAGACGAACCTTGAAGGTCTTGTAGTTGTATGTAAAAATTGTTTTTTATTGCAGCTTTGGCTTAGGTTGGGCTAATAAAGTCCTTAATATACTCATTGCATATTCATATACTGTTATATCCAAGCTTTGGGGCATGATTTCTGTCCGTCGGAAAAGGTATCGGCATTTTCCATTCTCCACCAATCCGAAAGGAGTATTTTTCGGACAGGGCGCCCAAGAGGCCATTGAACGGCCCGATGGAGGTGTGAACTCAGACTCAACTATTTTACTGATGAAGGTGGCTCAAACTCAGGAAGTTGTACTGAAAATGGAGTCTGAACTTAAGCTCACTTTTAGCGTTGAAGTTTATTATTTTGAACAAGAAATACCGATTCTTGGGGTTGTCTGATATGTTTTGAGAAAAACGAGAAATTTCTGATTTTCAATTTTAGCTAAGTTTTGAAAGTTTTTTATACTACGAAATTTCCGAAAAATGGTGGAAGTCCCAAAAAAAAATCCAGAAAAGTTCTAAACAATCCAAAAGTTTCCGAAAAGTTTCAAGACGTATAACACAAAAGAATCCTGCGAAATATAGGGTCCCGAAAAATACCCTAAAAGAACTGAAAAACTCCAAAATATCTTGAAAAAACTCAAAGAATCCTGGAAGGATCCGAATGGATGTTGAAAAGTCCTGAAAATTCCCCAAATTTCCTTAAAAAATCCGAAAAGAAAATACCAACAATGCTTCAAAACGTTGGTGGGTCCAAAGAAATCCCCTGAAACTGCCGGAAAATCCCGAAAAAAACGAAGCAACATGAAACTTCCAAAATTATCTCGAAAAATCCTAAAAAATTTGAACAGTTGCTGAAAAGTAAATCATCAGAATCCTGTAAAACGATGATAGGTACTGGAAAAAGCTTTGAAAGGAACGAAAAATGTCGGAAAATCCATAAAACACTAAACTCGCGAAAAAGTCTAAAAACTTCGTGAAAAAATTCGAAAAGTAGCAAACGAAAAAAGCGTTGATACGAAAATTCTTAAAAGTTATGAACTTATTCCGAAAAGTTTCGAAAAAATTGAGGAAAACTCTACAAAGTTCCAAATGTTCCTAAAATACAAAAAGGAAAAACAGGAATCTGTCCTGCAAAAATCTTGATAAAGCTCGGAAAATCTCCGAAAAAATTCCGAAAAGCACAAAAGAATACGAAAATTACTAATAAACGGAAAAATATCCTGAAGAAATCCGAAAACGTTCCGAAAAATTACGAAATGTAAGGCACGAAGGATCCTGTAAATTCCAAAAAAAATCTGAAGCGCCCCGAAAAAACCCAAAATGCCTTAAAAATGCTAAGTGGCCCACAAAACTTTCGTTATAATTTAGAAAAATTACAAAAGGTTCCGAAAAGTCACCAAAAAGAAAACACAGAAAATTCTGGAAAACATTGAACAGTTCCGAAAGGTCACGAAAAAATTCCGGAAAAGTTAGGAAAAGTCCCAAAAATTTAAAAAGTTTCCAAAAATACGAATTAGATTTTCCTGCTTAAATTGCAAAATTGAATTATTTTTGTCACATATGCGCATGTCGATATATGTACGTGGAAAACTTGAGCTCAAATATATTAAATTTACGTTTTTACTTTTTTCGCAGAACGTCTGAATTTTTTTTTAAAGGACCTGTTTTGAAAAAGATCGTATAATCTAATATTATGCAAGGTACGGAAATATGGGTATCAAATAAAAGAGGAGGGTGCACACCAGCCTAAAGAACCTTCTCCAAGTTATTCTGTGAAAAAACACCTCAAAAATGTCCTTTAAAAATGTTATCCTTGAATATCCTCGAAGACTTTCATTCAAATTCTTTGGGAAAATTATGTTAATTGTTATATGCACTATCAGCAATCCAAATTGCATCCCCATACCTTCCTTACTCCAGGGTATACAGGGGTTAAAGATCTTTCCAATAAGTATCAGCGTGCTTTATAATTTGTCTATTTTTTATAACACATGCGAAAATCGATTTATGTGCAAAACTACAAGTCAAATATAGAAAATTTGCGTTTCTTACTTTTCGCAGAGCATCAGTTTTTTTTTAAAGGGTTAAGGTCCTTTCAATATGAATCGTGGTTTCAAAAAAAGAAACGAGATCATAAGGCACGGAAATGTGGGTATAAAATGAAAGCACGATTTTTTTTCGCAGTCATCCTGCGGTAAATACTTCAAAAATGTCCTTTAAAGTGGTTATCCTTGAATACCCTTTCCAATTTTCATCCAAATCCCTTAATAAAAATATGTATGTATATTATGTAAATTGTTATATGCACTGGCTGCCACATTTTTTAGCATAAAATCCAGACTTCCCAGTTCCCAGTTTGATAGTCTGATCATCCCGCCTCGTAGTGAAGATATGAAACGCTTGGAGACATTCGTATTTATGTTGAATTCTTTATTCAAATGCAGAATAATATTTATACAGCATACATATATTAATATTTAGTTATTCATTTGCCTGCTGCAGAAAATTTTAAACATGCAGCGCATAATCACCCTTCTCATCACATAAAATGAAATCCTTATTGTACGAGTATTGTATGAATTGCTTATAAAGCCGCCATCCTGCCAGCCACATCAAGCCAAGTGCAAAAAATAATGCAGATAAGAGTGCACATGAAGCGGCTTCACCATATTACGTAAAACAAACTCATCAACTCAGCAGCGCATATCCTGGCAAATCTGCACTTTAGCTACACGCGCGCACACGTGCAAGCACACACACACACACACACAAACACAAACACAAACACACACACACAAACTCAAGCTAACACGTTCAAGTATGCATGTTTACGCGCGTAAGCTTTGCGCATATTAGCGTTAACACATCATCGCCACAAGGCCGTAGGCACTGCGCTACCATAGCCATAGCTGTAGCCGTAAGCCGGGTAATAACCGTAACCGTAACGGTAGGTCGTCGCCGTCGTCGGATATGCATAGGGATAGGCGGCAGCCACAGCGGTCGTTGTGCTTACAGCTGGCACATAACTCGCAGGCACATAGCTAGCAGCGGGCACGTAAAGGCGATTGTAGTTGCGCGCGACCACTTGATGGCTATGCGCCGTGACGACGGGTGGTGCAATAACGACGGTGTATGTGGGTGTGGCCCGTATGAGCGTGGGGGCGTCACTGGTCACAGAGGTGCTAATGGAATGCAAGAAAACGCTGCAGCAGAGTAATAAAATGAGCTAAAAGCGAAGGAGAAGGCAAACAAAAAAGAGGAAAAGTGAAAATTGAAATTTTGAAAATTGAGTTGTACAGCTGATTTTTCAGCCATAAAATTTAACACTTACATTTTTCATATTTTCACTTGTATTTAATTATGTACGTAGGTATATTAGGTATGTACTATGTATCCTGTTAACCGCCTGCTTCGGAGGATTCGTTTTGTCGTGATTTGTGGCTGCAGCGACAGCAATTCGATTACTGCAATTGTGCGCACTTGGCCATAGCACTTTTTATACTAGGTGCAATTATGAAGCGCTCATAACGCCCGATGTTACTCATACGCCCCACACTACCGCGCATAGCAATTTATTTTATATCTAGTATGTATGTATGTATGTATATTAGGGCGGGTTAATTTGTATGGATGAAAAAAAAATTAAAAATCGTATAGCAAAAACGTAATCTATATTAAATTCTAAGAAAATTCTCTGAAGAAACCATGGGTCTAAAATCAACGCCTCTCGACTTGAACATTTTTTTACTTGGGTGAATATTTTTTTTAATGAAAAAAAAATTTGAGTGAAGAAAAAATATAAAGTGCATAGAACTACCTTACTAAACAATTTTATTCAGAAAATTCGATTTCTTTTTGGAAAAACCTATTTTTTCTAACATTTATTTTTTTGGCAAAGGCGGCCATATAAATTTTCAAGTCGAGAGGCGCGGATTAGGATTTTATTTTAGATACATGGTTTCTTCGGAGAATTTTCTTAGAATTTTATGTAGTTTACGTTTTTGCTATACGATTTAAAAAAAAAATCAACCCGCCCTAATGTATATAGTATACATGTGTACTTGCATCGATATGACTGCATTTGAAATATTCACTTGCACATATTTGCATGTGATGCATATTGCATAGCAACTATTTCCTTTCCAATCGAAGTGATGCGTAATGCTATGCAATCAAATGCATTTGTTACACATCTAAAGTGTTGCAAGTAATTTGAATGAACTTGTTGCTCCCCGCCTATTATTCGTTGGTTGCACTCTAGTACTTTGTGTGCTCATTGCATGCAAGGCACGTATTGCTGCAGCTGTCATATTTGCATTAGGAAAAGCAAAATTTGCAAC